GACTTCATCTGCAGATGGATGTTCATCCCTTTGATATATAGATAAATAAACAGATACAAAATGAAACATTGTTTCTTTTGAGCAATGTTGTTGATAAACATTGCCAGACTGCTTTTCTTTCACAGCTCCAGCTATCAGACTTTCTCTGTGTACTAGCAATGCCTCTTTGTTTCAGAGATAAATTGCCAGTACTGTGACAGGTGAGGTCTTGGCAGCAGGGCAGAAGGTCTGGATGTGTTACACATGCCCTGTATACATTGATTACTTTTCTTAGGCGTGTCTAACAAGTCCAGAGTCTGCAACTGATTAAATTAGTATAACATTAAAAAAAGGTAAAAAACACACAACAAATCAACAATACAAACAGAAAATAAAAAGTACAGCACTGATGGATTTCTGATGACTTACCTTATATAATCTAGTAAAGAATAAAATAGCAGTTATCTTAGTGCACACTTATACTATAACAATAAAAGGGCAATAAGAAAAAGCTAACCAGACTAAGTGAAGGACCTTATAGATACCAATATACTTGTCTTGATTTCAAGTCATACCAAAGTACCCCTAAACCTTTCTGTGTTGGACCATGTAGTGTATTGAAATGTCATTATTTCCTGAAGTTGACATGCAGGCAGCTTCTTAATCATATAACTAGGCCAAGCATCAAAGTACTTCTTTATGGATATTTCCCTATTTCTCAGAGTATCCATTTTATCCATCATGCATAATATAAATATAGTAGCATTAAGCTCCTTTAATGTAAGAGAGTTGGGCTGAATCCATCGGATCAATATGATTTTTTTTGCTCCCAGCAAACAAATAATTTCCCACCTACTAAAGTACTACCTGTGGCCTCTCTTTTGCTTCCAGAGGATAATGTAAGAAGCACATACAGTCAGGTACATAAATATTGGGACATTGACACAATTCTATCATTTTTGGCTCTACACACAACCACAATGGATTTGAAATGAAACGAACAAGATGTGCTTTAAGTGCAGACTGTCAGCTTTAATTTGAGGGTATTTACATCCAAATCAGGTGAACAGTGTAGGAATTACAACAGTTTGCATATGTGCCTCCCACTTGTTAAGGGACCAAAAGTAATGGGACAATTGGCTTCTCAGCTGTTCCATGGCCAGGTGTGTGTTATTCCCTCATTATCCCATGAGCAGATAAAAGGTCCAGAATTCATTTCAAGTGTGCTATTTGCATTTGGAATCTGTTGCTGTCAACTCTCAAGATGAGATCCAAAGAGCTGTCACTATCAGTGAAGCAAGCCATCATTAGGCTGAAAAAAAAAAAACAAACCCATCAGAGAGATAGCAAAAACATTAGGCATAGCCAAAACAACTGTTTGGAACATTCTTAAAAAGAAGGAACGCACCGGTGAGCTCAGCAACATCAAAAGACCCAGAAGACCACAGAAAACAACTGTGGTGGATGACCGAAGAATTCTTTCCCTGGTTAAGAAAACACCCTTCACAACAGTTGGCCAGATCAAGAACACTCTCCAAGAGGTAGGTGTATGTGTGTCAAAGTCAACAATCAAGAGATGACTTCACCAGAGTGAATACAGAGGGTTCACCACAAGATGTAAACCATTGGTGAGCCTCAAAAACAGGAAGGCCAGATTGGAGTTTGCCAAGCGACATCTAAAAAAGCCTTCACAGTTCTGGAATAACATCCTATGGACAGATGAGACCAAGATCAACTTGTACCAGAGTGATGGGAAGAGAAGAGTATGGAGAAGGAAAGGAACTGCTCATGATCCTAAGCATACCACCTCATCAGTGAAGCATGGTGGTGGTAGTGTCATGGCGTGGGCATGTATGGCTGCCAATGGAACTGGTTATCTTGTATTTATTGATGATGTGACTGCTGACAAAAGCAGCAGGATGAATTCTGAAGTGTTTCGGGCAATATTATCTGCTCATATTCAGCCAAATGCTTCAGAACTCATTGGACGCCGCTTCACAGTGCAGATGGACAATGACCCAAAGCATACTGCAAAAGCAACCAAAGAGTTTTTTAAGGGAAGGAAGTGGAATGTTATGCAATGGCCAAGTCAATCACCTGACCTGAATCCGATTGAGCATGCATTTCACTTGCTGAAGACAAAACTGAAGGGAAAAAGCCCCAAGAACAAGCAGGAACTGAAGACAGTTGCAGTAGAGGCCTGGCAGAGCATCACCAGGGATGAAACCCAGCGTCTGGTGATGTCTATGCGTTCCAGACTTCAGGCTGTAATTGACTGCAAAGGATTTGCAACCAAGTATTAAAAAGTGAAAGTTTGATTTATGATTATTATTCTGTCCCATTACTTTTGGTCCCTTAACAAGTGGGAGGCACATATGCAAACTGTTGTAATTCCTACACTGTTCACCTGATTTGGATGTAAATACCCTCAAATTAAAGCTGTCAGTCTGCAGTTAAAGCACATCTTTGTTTCATTTCAAATCCATTGTGGTGGTGTATAGAGCCAAAAATGTTAGAATTGTGTCGATGTCCCAATATTTATGGACCTGACTGTAGGTGGACACACCAACCAAGCAGATCCCAATACAGTTTTTACAAATTGTATAACCATATGCCAGGATTTCTCTATTATCAGGCACTGCCACCATAGATTAATCAAATTAGGTTTGTCAAGATAAATTATTTGGTCAAATAGATAACCGCTCTGAAGATGATACTTACAAAGTGTTACTAAACCCACACCAGTAAAATCAGTCTGTAAAGCATGCTTCTTATATTCACTGTGAACCTAAACGTTAATCTTTCACACTGTGTAAAAAGGATGTTTGATCCTGTACTCTCTGATCCTCCACTTCTTCCACTGTCCCCAATCCATCTACTGATAGTCCAGCACTCTAGAGTCACTCTGCACATGTTCAGTTTAGTGTGCACTGCTAGAGAGGTTGTTGTTTTTTTTCCTTTGGGAGGGTGCACATGATGAGCACAGGGCCAAATCAGCACTGTCCAGACAAAGGGTCATGCAGCCTCATAGGACAGTCAGAGCATAATGAAAAATCCTCCTACAAGCAGGGGCAGACTGACAACTCATGGGGCCCCCAGGCAATAGGGGATCATGGGGCCCCTGTGTCCTTGCCCAAACTCAAAAAAACCTATGAAAAAGGTACCAGGTGCATCTCATGGGGCCCCCTACTGACCCGAGTTTTCAAATGGTCAGTCCGCCCCTGCCTACAAGCTTTAACCAGTGTTCAGCTGGACACTGATAGAAGTCACAAGACTACTATATACTACTAATGTGAAAAGAAGTTTAGCAGTTTATATTTACTAAACTAATTACAGTTCTATGTACTGTGGGAGACCACGTATAGTGAATGCAGGGTCCTGGGTTTAATAACACTAACGAGCAAAAAGGTTCACTTACTATTGCTTTAGTAGTACAATTCCAGCCATACTGAAGAGAAGACCCAGCTTCCTCAGATTACACACACAAAAACCCTTCCCATTTAGCTATAAATCCTAAATTTAATGGGGGATCAGAACCCATGTGTTGCCTCAAAAAACAATAGAAGCGCAAGTACAGTTTTCAGGGATCAACTAAAAGCGGACAGGGCAGACGATAGCCAGAAAGACTGAGGAAGGGATTTCCAAAGAATAAGAGTGGCCCTGGAGAAGCCCTGGGGGTGAGCATAGGAGATGGTGACAAGGCAGCTAGTGAGCAGTATGTCCTGGAAGGAGCACAGTGGATTGTTTGGGTGATATTTTGAGCTGTGGTCAACGACGTAGTTGGGGGCAGAGTTGTAGATGGCTTTATATAATGTTAGTGGATTCAATGTTACTTTGATATTCAGTTTGTAGAGCGGGGGTCAGCAACCAGTAGATCTCGGCCAGGTGACTGGCAGATCACGGTCTTGGCTTGCTGACCCGCCATCCCGGAGTGCAATGCAGAGGGACAACTTGTAAAGTTGGAGCAGTTTCTAAGGAAGCAAGAGCCACATACGCTGATGCCTCCTCTGTAGTGCTAACTCCTACGCACTGACATAGTTGGTGGGTGTAGCACCTGCCAAGCATGACCTGTTAAAGTGAATTAGGCCTCTCTGCAAATGCCCTGCAACTTTGTGCAGTACAGCAAACAAGGGGTTAAAGCAGGCAGCATCATGTTGCTTTCTCACCAACTGTTTTAAACCCTTGGACCCTGCAGAAACATACAGTTGCAGAGAGCTTGCAGAGTGGCCCCATCTACTTGAATGGGTCTTGATTGACAAATGGTAGCACCCACCAAAAGCAACAGGGGGTATAATTCTTGCTGTGGCATGTGTACACCTTTGGATGCTCCCTCAGGAGCAGGGATGGGGCAGTAAAACCAGATCTCAACGGCAGGGTTTTACCACCCCCCAACTTTACATGTGACTGAGCCCTAAAAGTGCCACTGCCAGATTCAACTAAGGGCTCATTCACAAGTGCAGCAGGCACTACTACTCCTCTGAAAAGTGATCCAAGTGTGTTTGACAGGTGGTGAGAAAAGTGCAGTAGGCACTGCTGCTCCTCTGAAAAGCAATCCAAGTGTGCTTGACAGGTGGTGAGGAGCTGATATGTTGCCTCCTTCCAACCTGATTTAAACCCGATTGTCGTGCAATGCATGCGATTGCGACACTCCGGTAGTGCAGCAATTAGAGGTTTAAATCAGGTGTGAGAAGGCGACACTGTTCCCGGTGATCTTTGACTTCTCCCATGTTGTTCAGGTAGATCGCCACCTCTTTAAGGTTGTCTACCCCTGTTGAAGAGTATGCCAGTCTTTCTAATAGGAAATCACTGAAAATCAAACCAGTCTTTGTGAGCTGAGAGCAAAATAAGTAAATCAGGCATCAGAGCACTTGCTATTTGATGTAAACATGGAAAATATTCATAGGCAAATCATTTTTTTTTGAAGTCCTGAACATAAATAAAACATGACAACAGAAAAACGCTACATATGCATGTTGTTGCAGGGCAGTAAAAGTTATTCAATGATTACCATAAACAAATACCTTTCAGGGGTGTACTGTTCTGAAGAAAACTGAACCACTGATTCCCCTCCGTACTGGGTGGAGATAGCAAGTCATCATCTTCATCTTTCAAATACTTAGAAAGAAATAAGGAGAAAGCAGAACTTCACTCTCTCTATCAACATTGAATATTTTTAATCCTTATGCTGCTAGCATTAGTAAATAGATGGAAAAGTATATCATATTTACTTGTTTTAAACTTTTTTTCTTTACATTTCTTCAGTTACCTCCTGCTTTCCACGCCTAGGCAAATGATGTCATACATCCCAGGAGTCTTCAAGAGGGGAGGAGGGGTTTTCTAAGCACACCCTACTGCTTGCATGCATGAGTTAAGGGCAAATGGAGTCCAGAAAGTAAATGCTACAAGATTCATCTGCTAATACTCCAGATGGCCACGGTCAGAAATGCTAGGAGGTGTTTTTCAAGGTGATTTCTCAGCAAAGTAAAGCATGGAGACATGGATGGATGGGCGAGACAGTACATTACAAATGATTTAAAGTGCATTTTTGGTTTGTGGTTCTCAGATGCAGTGTGGTTTCACTTTTTTTGGACACAAGTTTGGATCTGTATGAAAGTAATGGTACTTCAATGCCTGCTATAAAGGATCCCATGTGAGGTCTCTAAAACATAAAACCCACAGCTCCTTGAAAAAGAAGACTGTACTATAATATACAGTATAGTCACACACCCAGAAGCTTGCGTCTCCTACCTTCCCTTCCATTCCAGTGCTGCAGCTTTCTTAAGCCCATTTGGCAGTTATTTATTTATTTCAGGTTCTTATATAGCTCTGTCAATTTACGCAGCGCTTTACATACTGTATATATATTGTACATTCACATCAGTCCCTAACCCTCAAGGGGCGTACAATCTAAAGTCCCTAATTCACATTCATACATACACATATTAGGGCCAATTTTAGACAAGAGCCAATTAACCTACCAGCATGTCTTTGGAGTGTGGGAGGAAACCGGAGTACCCGTAGGAAACCCAGCAAGCACAGGGAAACATGCAAACTCCATGCAGGAGGTGCCATGGTCGGGAATCGAACCCATGACCCATTTACTGCAAGGCAGACATGCTAACCACTAAGCCACTGTGCCGCATTTGACACTTCCTGAATTGTCAGACGCCTGTGTCCCCATCCATAAAGCGTGGTTCCTTCCTTTGACTCCTGCAGTGACATAGGGGTTGGAGAAAGAACGACAGCTCTCGGAAGGGGAAACAAGAATTTAACACTTCCAGAAGAGTGAAATGCCAAAGACTGCAGTACTGGAATGAAGGGGAGCAGACAAGCGCCACCGAAGAAGTGAGATCATCAAGTCTTCTATTGCAATGAGTTTAATATCAGAGTTCTTACAGGGTCTCTTTGTTAAAAAAACAAGCAAAATAAGGTTGTTGGGCAATACATCTTTCTTTGCATTGCTTTTTTTTTTTTTTTTTTTTATAGTGATCTATTATTGCTGTGCACCCCTACTCTACAAACAGATTGGTATGAATTTTTTTAACCTACTATAGCTAGGCAACCTAATGCACAATTTTTAAGTTGGTGTTTGTACTATTGATTTGAATTTCTCAAAGCACAAATGGGCACAGAAGTGTAAAAAAGTATTTGTGTGTGTGTGTGGCCTATATCTGCAAATATGAAAAAAAGCTTGGTTGTTTTTGGACATGTGGAGAAGTGGTTGAATACTGTTTATTTTAAAATAACTTTCACAAAACGCCAACTTTAGTAGTATTAGTGAGATGATCCAAAAGAAATGACACTTTACCTGTCCAACCCTTTCTACGTTGAAGTACTTGCCTTTCTGGTCATATAGTTCTGGTGCCTAGAAACACAAAAAGCCTCTATGAATGTCAAGAAAACAGGTTTACTGGTATCTCAGTTCTCTCTTCATTGACACACACATTAACACCAGAGCAAGAGAGGGAATGACTTTGTGCCAAAGTCAGACTCCAGTTTCTCTTAGTGATACATACATTTTGATGTCAGAATAAAAATTCCAAATGACTTACTGTAAGCAACTAGAATTAAGCTGGCCTTACAAGGTCATTGTTTTTCTGTTCACCAGCAGGTTGAAAAAAACACAAACAAGGTGAATGGAGGGACCCCCTCCTACCAAGACATTGTTTTCTGACAGTGACACCTTCCACTGTCAGAACACATTGAGCAGCAGCAGCTGCAGCCTCTAGTCAAGCAAAATTTTTCAACAAGTCAATCAAGCGATCAACTTCTGTTAAGTGGGGACAGTCACACACGGATCAAAAAATTGAAAGCTTTAAACCTTTAATACATTTGTGAATACTTCCCAAAAGGAATACAATTTAAAGCATGTGTACACTCTAAACAATTAACTTTTGTTATTTTTTCCTTTTGGGCTGTTAAATTAAAAGTGATTTGTTATGACACGTGCAAAAAAATACTTGTTGATCCTGCAAGAAATCCTGGTCTCACCCCTCTATGCTATGGAGAAGAGGAGAGGGTGGCCTTTTTATAGTCCTGTCCTGTTACTGTTGCCCTGATACAATACTGCGAGTTGCCACACTAGGGCAGGAAATGTGTTACTGGCAGGATCACCAGGTAAAAGAAAACTATTGCAGCTTGCAGCTACCACATCTAAGGACTGGCAAGCTGCAATAAAATATATCTTAGTTTAGATACACTATATTAAGAGCAGAATATAAAAGATTTCTAAGAAGCTTATTAATTTAGCAAACTCTTCACAAATTCCCAAGCTTCTTCAGCCTGAAGATGGAGACAGCTTCAATCCATTTTTCAGCTCCATAAAAGTCCACAAGGGTCTATTGACATTTGGCGATTAAGCAGGCCTGAAAGATGTAAACATGGCAGTGGGCCTCTGTTAAAAACTTTGCAGGCATAGAACTTTAGAGGTGGAGGGGGGTGGGCTGGACTATAAAACTTAAAAAATTACCTTACCCTTTAAAAAAAAAAAAAAAAAACTGATTTTTTTTTTTTAAACACACACACACAGCAGTTAAACAGACCTGCTTTTGGGCAGAACAACTTTTATAAAAAAAAACACATCCTGTTGTCTTCTTATGGTATATCACTGATATTTTTGCCTTTGAACATTTAAAAGACTGTATGTGAACACACTGCAAAATATATTCCCATGGGCAACAAGTTTAAAAGGCTAAAAAAACCTATTTGGCTTATGGCCAAAGTTAAAAAAGCTAATAATAAGAAAAGAGCTTTTATTAAATATGAAAATGAAGGAACGCCATCATCGTTTAAACATTACAAAGAATATAATAGAATATGCAAAAACTAAATAAAGGCCGCAAAAATTTAAAATGAACGACAGATTGCAAAAGCTAGCAGGACCAACCCCAAAAAATTCTTCAAATATACTAACAGTAAAAAGGTCTGGTCCAAGCATGTTGGCCCTTTACAAAATAATCTAGAGTGGGTGACTGGGAACAAAGAGAAGGCAAATTTGCTCTTGTCCATAATGAGCATGGTATTGACACAGATCCAGATGATCCACATTGGCTCACAATTGATATGATCCAAAAATATTTAGACAGTATAAAAAGGTGAATAAAGCACCTGGACCGGATGGCATACACCCACGGGTCCTTAAAGAATTGAGCGCTGTCATTTCAAAGCCATTGTTTCTAATTTTTAGGGACTCTTTAATGACTGGCATAGTACCACTGGATTGGCATAAGGCCAATGCGGTGCCAATATTTAAAAAGAGGCCAAAATCTTTACCAAGTAATTATAGACCTGTTAGTTTAACTTCTGTAGTTGGGAAGATATTGGAGAGTTTAATAAAAGACCACATTGTTCTGTCCCCCTTTGTAATGTACAGCGCTGAGCGAACTATTGGCGCTTTATAAATACTGTATAATAATAATAATAACAGAGGAGATATTGCTGGAAAAAAATATTTTAAGCAACAGACAGCATGGATTCATGAAAGACAGAAGTTGTCAACCAAATCTGATTTCTTTTTTATGAGGGGGCGAGCAAAACCTTGGACAGAGGGGGTGGCGGTGGATATGGTATACTTGGATTCTGCAAAAGCTTTTGACACAGTTCCCCACTCACGGCTAATGTGTAAGGTAAAATCTACGGGCTTGGAAAAATCTGTATGTAAATGGATAGAAAACTGGCTAAAAGATCGTATTCAAAGACTAGTGGTTAATGATTCATACTCTAAATGGTCAAGGGTCATCAGTGGTGTAACCCCAAGGTTCAGTCTTGGGACCTTACTTTTTAAATATATTTATAAACGATAAATGGACTGTCTGGGGTTAAAAATCCCATTCCAGTCTTTGCAGATGACATCAAGCTGTGCAGTGGAATAACGTCCTTACAGGATGTCTTTAACTTACAAGCCAACCTCAATGCACTGTTTAATTGGGCAACTATGTGGCGAATGAGGTTTAATATTGATAAATGTAAGGTTATGCACTTGGGGGCTAAGAATATGCATGCATCATACACACTAGGGGGAGTACAATTGGGGGAATGAATGGTGCAGAAGGATCTGGGAGTTCTGGTAGATCACAAGCTTAATAATGGCATGCAATTCCAAGCTGCGGTTTCTAAAGCGAGCAAAATCCTCTATTGTATTAAAAGAAGTATAGACTGGAGAGAAAGATATCATATTACCCCTGTACAAATTATTAGGAAAACCTTATCTGGAATATGCAGTTCAGTTTTGGGCACCAATTCACAAAAAGAACATTGGGGAACTGGAGAAAGTACAGAGAAGGGCAATCAAACTGATAAGAGGCATGGAGGAGCTCAGCTATGAGGAAAGATTAGAGGAACTGAATTTATTCTCTCTTGAGAAGAGGAGATAAAGAGGGGATATGATCAACATGTATAAATACATCAGTGGTTCATATAGTGAACTTTGTGTACAGCTATTCACCCTGAGGTCATCACAGAGGACAAGGGGACACTCTTTACATCTGGAGGAAAAGAAATTTAATCTCCAAACATGGAAAGGTTTCTTCACAGTGAGAGCTGTGAAAATGTGGAATAGACTCCCTGAAGAGTTGGTTTTGGCCAGCTCAGTGAATTGCTTTAAAAAAAGTCCTGGATTCTTTCCTAGATACACAGAATATAACTGGATACTAACATTTATAGGTAAAGTTGATCCAGGGAATGTCTGATTGCCTCTCGGGGGATCAGGAAGGATTTTTTTTTTTTCCCTGCAGGAGCAAAATTGGGTCATGCTTTGCTGTGTTTTCCTAAGTTTAACCATCGGAAAACACATATTTCGAACGATGGGTCGCCTTAGGAACCGAGAGAACCGAACACCGCTGCAGTCTCCGGCGATGTGTGGGCGGGATGATACGCTGCTGTCACCTGGCCACACCTCCGGGATCGCTCAGCAGCTCCGCCTCCTCGCCGCTGATTGGCCACCGGAACTGTAGCTCAGGAGAGGCACACAGGCGGCCAATCACCGGCGAGGAGCTGGAGCTTGGAGAGGAGGAGCCGAGCGGCAGCGCGCGTACATCAAAGAAGACCGAGGGAGCTGCCGGAGCGAGTGAAGAGAGAGGCCAGAGAAGGAAGACAGCTGACAGGTAAGTGAGAGAGCGAGGCCAGGCTGGAGCAGGGGTCAGCAAGGTAAGTATCATTGGTGTCAGTGGGAGGAATAGTGCCCCATCATTTGTGTCACTAATACCAACGATGGGGCACTATTCCTCCCCCCACTGACACCAACGATGGGGCACTATTCCTCCCCCCACTGACACCAACGATGGGGCACTATTCCTCCCCCCACTGACACCAACGATGGGGCACTATTCCTCCCCCCACTGACACCAACGATGGTGCACTATTCCTCCCACTGACACCAACGATGGGGCACTATTCCTCCCCCCACTGACACCAACGATGGGGCACTATTCCTCCCCCCACTGACACCAACGATGGTGCACTATCCCCCCACTGACACCAACGATGGGGCACTATTCCTCCCCCCACTGACACCAACGATGGGGCACTATACCTACCCCCACTGACACCAACGATGAGACAGTATTCCTCCCCTCACTGACACCAACGATGGGGCACTATTCCTCCCCCCACTGACACCAACGATGGGGCACTATTCCTCCCCCCACTGACACCAACGATGGGGCACTATTTCCCCCCCCCCTTGACCCAATGATGGGGCATTCTCCCCTCCCCACACTGACACCAATGATGGGGCACTATTCCTCCCACTGACACCAATGATGGGGCACTATTCCTCCCCCCACTGACACCAACGATGGGACACTATTTCACCCCCCCACTGACACACCAACGATGGGGCACTATTTCCCCCCCCCCCCTGACCCAACGATGGGGCACTATCTCCCTCCACCACACTGACATCAACGATGGGGCACTATTCCTCCCACTGACACCAATGATGGGGCACTATTCCCCCACTGACACCAATGATGTGGCACTATTCCCCCCACTGACACCAGTGATGGGGCACTACTCCCCCCACTGACACCAGTGATGGGGCACTACTCCCCCCACTGACACCAGTGATGGGGCACTATTCCCCCCACTGACACCAGTGATGGGGCACTACTCCCCCCACTGACACCAGTGATGGGCACTACTTCCCTCCCCCCACTGACACCAATGATGGGGCACTACTCCCCCCACTGACACCAATGATGGGGCACTACTCCCCCCACTGACACCAATGATGGGGCACTATTCCTCCCACTGACACCAGTGATGGGGCACTGATTACTCCCCCACCACTGACACCAGTGATGGGGCACTACTCCCCCCACCGACACCAGTGATGGGGCACTACTACCCCCCACGACACCAGTGATGGGGCACTACTCCCCCCACTGACACCAGTGATGGGGCACTACTCCCCCCACCGACACCAATGATGGGGCACTACTCCCCCCACCGACACCAATGATGGGGCACTACTCTCCCACCGACACCAATGATGGGGCACTACTCCTCCCACCGACACCAATGATGGGGCACTACTCCTCCCACTGACACCAATGATGGGGCACTACTCCTCCCACCGACACCAATGATGGGGCACTATTCCTCCAACCGACACCAATGATGGGCACTATTCCTCCCACTGACACCAGTGATGGAGCACTACTCCCCCACTGACACCAGTGATGGGGCACTACTCCCCCCACTGACACCAGTGATGGAGCACTACTCCCCCCACTGACACCAACGATGGGGCACTACTCCCCCCACTGACACCAGTGATGGGGCACTATTCCTCCCACTGACACCAACGATGGGGCACTATTCCTCCCACTGATACCAACGATGGGGCACTATTCCTCCCACTGATACCAACGATGGGGCACTATTCCTCCCACTGACACCAACGATGGGGCACTATTCCTCCCACTGACACCAGTGATGGGGCACTATTCCTCCCACTGACATCAGTGATGGGGCACTATTCCTCCCACTGACACCAGTGATGGGGCACTATTCATCCCACTGACACCAGTGATGCGGCACTATTCCTCCCACTGATACCAACAATGGGGCACTATTCATCCCACTGACATCAGTGATGGGGCACTACTCCTCCACTGACACCAATGACATGGCACTACTCCTCCCACTGCAAAATTACAGTTATGAAGTAGCAATGAAAATAATTTTATGGTTGGGGGTCACCACAACATGAGGAACTGTATTAAGGGGTCGCGGCATTAGAAAGGTTGAGAACCACTGGTTTAACTGGATGGACTTCTCTCTCTCTATTCTCTCTCTCTCTCTCTCTCTCTCTCTCTCTCTCTCTCTCTCTCTCTCTCTCTCTCTCTCTCTCTCTCTCTCTATATATATATATATATATATATATATATATATATATATATATATATATATATATATAATGCTGCTACACCAACCAAAAGGAACAGTGTTTCCTTTGCTCCAACCTTCTGTCTGGATCTTGTCTATGACTTGTCAGTTAGCCTTGGCTGTTTGCTACATTCTTGAAATGAACATAATGTATTTGTAACTATGACAGATGTTTGCTACTATTATATTTTACAACCATGAAAAATTATTTTTAAAAAATGCACTGGATACTTACTTCATTAAAATGTTCTGTCAGAAAGTCAGCAACAAAAGTGATGTCCTTTTTGCGTCATCTACACAGAAAAAAAAAGTGTAAGCAGTGGAAAATGTATTATATACAGTTCACAGATTATTTAGAACTTGGGCAAGTAATCAGTTAAAGTCTAGCTCCACGTTTCTGACCAAATTTTACATAACATCCATAGTTAGGGTGGAACATGAATTGTAGTAAGAATCTGCAGTCCCTCATCTTCCTTACAAATGTCAGGGGATTTTATCCCCAAGAGCTCCTGGCAAATCTGAAATTGGCAGACAGCCATTCATTCACAGGAAGTTAAGAATGCAAAAAGATCTGTCGCCACCATGGCAAAGGGGCTTGTAGTTCTCTATGGAACTCAAGCATGGTAATGTCCCCACTCTTGTAGTCCAATGACACTTTCCGCAGCAAGTATCAGCAAAGATCAGTACTAAAGTATGAACCAGCAGTTACAGAAAGAGTCTGCAAGAGCCCATGCTTTGCACCCATGATCCACTGATTCTGGATGCAATGCTTTCCAGCTTATGTAATAATAAATAAATATATACAGTATCTCACAGAAGGGAGTACACCCCTCACATTTTTGTAAATATTTTATTATATCTTTTTATGTGACAACATTGAAGAAATTATACTTTGCTACAATGTAAAGTAGTGAATGTACAGCTTGTACAACTGTAAATTAGCTGTCCCCTCAAATCAACTCAACACACAGCTATTAATGTCTAAACCGCTGGTCGCAAAAGTGAGTATACCTCTAAGTGAAAATGTCCAAATTGGGCCTAATTTAGCCATTTTCCCTCCCCGGTGTCATGCGACTCGTTAGGGTTACAAGGTTTCAGGTGTGAATAGGGAGCAGGTATGTTAAATTTGGTGTTATCGCTCTCACGCTCTCATACTGGCCACTGGAAGTTCAACATGGCACCTCATGGCAAAGAACTCTCTGAGGATCTGAAAAAAAAAAAGAATTGTTGCTCTACATAAATATGACCTAGGCTATAAGAAGATTGCCATGACCCTGAAAATGAGCTGCAGCACGGTGGCCAAGACCATACAGTGATTTAACAGGACAGGTTCTACTCAGAACAGGCCTCGTCATGGTCAACCAAAGAGGTTGAGTGCACGTGCTCAGCGTCATATCCAGAGGTTGTCTTTGGGAAATAGATGTATGAGTGCTGCCAGCATTGCTGCAGGGGTTGACAAGGTGGGGGGGTCAGCCTGTCAGTGCTAAGACCATACACCGCACACTGCATCAAATTGGTCTGCATGGCTGTCATCCCAGAAGGAAGCCTCTTCTAAAGATGATGCACAAGAAAGCCCGCAAACAGTTTGCTGAAGACAAGCAGACTAAGGATATGGATTACTGGAACCATGACCTGTGGTCTGATGAGAGCAAGATAAACTTATTTGGTTCAGATGGTAACAAACGTGTGGCGGCATCCATGTGAGGAGTACAAAGACAAGTGTGTCTTGCCTACAGTCAAGCATAGTGGTGGGAGTGTCATGGTCTGCGGCTGCATGAGTGCTGCCGGCACTGGGGAGCTACAGTTCATTAGGGGAACCATGAATGCCAACATGTACTGTGACATACTGAAGCAGAGCATGATCTCCTCCCTTCAGAGTCTGGGCTTCAAGGCAGCATTCCAACATGATATCGACCCCAAACACATCTCCAAGAAGATCACTGCCTTGCTAAAGAAGCTGAGGGTAAAGATGAAGGACTAGCCAAGCATTTCTCCAGACCTAAACCCTATTGAGGATATGTGGAGCATCCTCAAACGGAAGGTGGAGGTGCGCAAGGTCTCTAACATCCACCAGCTCCGTGAAGTCATCATGGAGGAGTGGAAGAGGACTCCAGTGGCATCCTGTGAAGCTCTGGTGAACTGCATGCCCAAGAGGGTTAAGGCAGTGCTGGAAAATAATGGTGGCCACAGAAAATATTGACACTTTGGGCCCAATTTGGACATTTTCACTTAGGGGTGTACTCACTTTTGTTGCCAACGGTTTAGACATTAATCGCTGTGTGTTGAGTTATTTTGAGGGGACAGCAAATTTACACTGTTATACAAGCTGTAAACTCACTACTTTACATTGTAGCAAAGTGTAATTTCTTCAGTATTGTCACATGAAACGATATAATAAAATATATACAAAAATGTGAGGGGTGTACTCACTCCTGTGAGATACTGTACACACACACACAGTTTTATGACAAGTAAGGGTGCATTATTTTTTCCAAAATGTGGACAGCCTTTGATATACAAAGAAGGATTGCCAAAGCACTATGAATTGTCCAAGGAGACAACGAAGTAAAAGTACCTCCCCTTTAGATACAACTTTTTTGTCATTGAAACTTCATACTGAGCTGTCCTGTAAGTAATGAATCTGTGCCATAAGTCATTTCATCTTCAGCAATATCAGTCTTTTTAGAAAAAGTGGTAGACACATAAAAAACCCTGCTGAAACTCCACCTGCTGGATGGATTAAGGACTACATAATATTTTTGTTATATTTCATATTTACCTGCTATTCTCTTCACTCAACTCTATAATAAAGGAGCGAGTTATATTGGTTTGAGATTACTAAGTACTTATGACTAAAGGCAAAAAGCCAGAATGTCACAGGCTCTTATAAAGAGGGCATGTTCCTCAAAACACTTTAGACAACAAGTATGACAAAGAACTGCCGCACCAATTCAGTGTGCTTGTATGCTTTGTGCAGAGAAGTTTAGAAAAAAAAAAAAAAATATGCCAGGCAGACAAATCATATTCTGATACACTTTTAAGTACCTCCAGTACCAATGTTTCCCAGGATTTTACTGGACAAACAAGGGGGGAGTTGTAACAGTCCCCAACTTGCAAGTCATTGCCAATGAATTGCTTTTTTTATTGAAGGAGAGGAGACTGCTTCCATTAAAGCATATGCAATGGCAAAAAATAGAAAAAAATAAAAAACACAGCACATTATTGCATTACATGCACATTTCTCATTGTGTTATCTCTTTAAAAGCACTGAAAATAAAGAAACATATCCCTTGATCTTGCAGAAATCTAGTGTGCCCCTAAATTCCTATTTGGGCAGACAACAAAGTGCCTTCTCTGCACTGAAATCCCAATCTCCTGACTATAGAACAAAACTTCTCTCCATCCCTCTTCACAGGCATACACGGTTATCTTTTCAAGCAAAACATTGCTGCTGCCTTGACTCCAAGGCTACTTTCATACTGATTCTAGCAAAAATTTGGCAAAAACATGTTACTGTGTTTTACTGTGTTTTTTACAGGACATGCGACTCAAAACACTGGGGCGGAGCATTTTTGGTGCACCAATCCTGCACAAAAATGCAGCAAGCAGGATTAAAAAAAAATCCTTAGTTAGACTTACTGGTGAATGTATTTCTAGGAGCCCTTTAGGACAGCACCTGGAGAGAGCGAAACTCCACCCATAAAAAAGGAAACACCGCAGCTTAAAAGTCTGCCTCTTCCACCATGCCCCCAGTTATAGCTGAGTAACCTCTGACATGCTGGAAAACAGAATAGGAAAAAACAGATACCATGCCAACCACAGAATTAAAAGACATTAAAAAAAGGGGTAAGAGGCTGCTGTCCTGAAGGGCCCCTAGAAGTACCATCACCGGTAAGTCTAAGGATTTCACCCCTCGCCCTTCAGGACAGCACCTGGAGAAGATAACTGAGTAACTTGTGTGGAGTAAAATGTGGAGAAACTATACCACGTAGCCGCTTTGCAAATCTGTTCCGGAGATGCACCAGCCTTTTCAGCCCAAGAGGCTCCCTTGCGGCTTCCCGTAAAGAGTGTAAATAAGGAGTTAAGACTTTGTAAACCCTGTTGACACCTCCAAAAATCTCAACAGACATCTTATCACGTCTAGCGTATGGAATGCCTCTTCCCCCGGATTAGCTGGAGCTGTATAGAAGGTAGGTAATATTTCCTGCGTACGATGAAAGGATGAGGAGATCTTCAGCAGAAATCCTGGATCCGTTCTTAGGACCACCTGGTCCGGAAAAATAACTAAAAAAGGTTCGGAAATTGACAGCGTCTGGATCTCACTAATCCTTCGAGCTGATGCAATGGCAATTAGAAAAACAGTTTTCAGAACTAAATTTCGCACCGACGCCTCCTCTAGGGGCTCAAATGGTTTTCTTTGTGAGGCCCTATAAAACTAAAGACAGCTTCCATTTTGGAAAAACTTTTACTGAAACTGGCCTGGTCCTGGCCAAAGCTTAAAAAAAAAAAAAAACTAATACTTAGCGCCTCCTGGGATAACCTCTTCTCCAGGAAAGCAGATAAAGCTGCTACTCGAGACTTAAGGGTGCTTGCAGCTAGGCCCATCTCCATTACTTCATGGAGAAATTCCAGGACTGACATGACTCTGTTCACCTGGAAATCCTTTTCTGAACACCAGGAATTATACCTTCTCCACACTTTCAGATAAATTGCTCTAGTCACTTCTTTCCTGCTTGAGAGCAAGGTGGCGATACTTCTTAGGAGTTCTTCTTCAAGAACCACGTGGTTAGGTTGAATCGCCCCACTTCTGGATGCAGCACTGGCCCATGGACTAACAAATCCTGACCAACAATTTCCAGGGGGGTCTGGAGGATAGGTTCCAAAGCGTTGAGAACTAAGGCCTTTTTGGCCAGTAGGGTGCTATCCGGATAAGGCTTGTTGTTTCCTGCTTGAACTTTGGAAGTACTAGAGGAATGAGCTGAAAAGGGGGGAAAGCGTAGGACAAAAGGGTAATTCCAAGGATGAGCTAATGCATCCAGCCCCAGAGCCTGGTCTTCCCTGTGAAGGGAGAAAAACACCGGTGCCTTTGTGTTTAGGTGACTTGTAAATAGGTCGACCTGAGGAACACCCCCCAAGCTTCTGTGATCAGCTGGAACACTCCCTGATTCAAACCCCATTTGGATTCTACTACTTTCCTTCTGCTCAAGAAATCTGCTAGCAGATTCTGCGAGCCTTTTAAGTAAATGGCCGAGAGGGAGGCCAAATTCTTTTCTGCCCAAGACGGGATCTCTAG